TCATGTTAAAGGAAATGACCTCAACTTGATATAAGCTCAAGAAAAGTCTACACTTAAGGGCACCAGTACTTTCAGGCCCAACACAGAGAGGAAGCAGACAAGATGAAATATTCCAAGAATGTTTTTGAGAAATCACGGAATGGTTAGGCATGATGGTTTTGTGTGGTAAACTTTCCAGGCTGCCAGACCAGGGATGGTGAACAGACTTCACCTTAAAAACCAACTTCAACTGACTGGCAGGAATTGCCTAGAGGGCTGTGTTAGAAAGGGTTCTGAGGTCAGGTCTGGGCCCAGAGGGAAGAAGTACAGGGACTGACAAACGGGGTGAACGGAGGATGGAAGAGAGCAGTGCACATGCTACACTGACGTGACCTGCAGGTGCAAGGGCAGGGACAAGAGTGAGGGTGTGTGGAATTTTTGGAACTGGCCAACAAGTGAGCACTTCCTTTGTGAAGGCAAGTTATTAATGACTGAGGCATCCACGGCTTGACGGATTGGGTCTGCTGTACGGGACTGGGCTTCAGTCCCAGTTCTGTTCCTGGGACCGGAACTGGGACTGGATATCCCACTGCATATCCTGATGGCTGGGAGGGAGGGAAAGACAGTCAGTGCTTATTAAGTAATAGCTGTGTGTGCCAGTAAACACTAAATTCTCTGTATACATCACATTACTTCATTTATTTCTCCAAGCCTTGTTTTTTTTGAGTCATGAAATGGGAGTAGTATCATCAATGTTCTGTGTGGATTAAATAAGGTGATGGGGTGAAAGTTCACCGTATACTGCAAATTGTCCTAGAACTATAGAGCATGAGTGCAATGACCATTTGCATTCAGGGCAGAATACAGCAGTTAGGTGCAGGACTCAGCCTTAGGCAGTCTTGAGTTCTGATCCCAGCTTCATTACTTAACAAGTAATTGTTCCCTATATCCTAGTTTCCTCATATAAAAAATGGAGATAGTATCAGTACTATCCAATAATAGTGATATGATTACACTAGGAGACAAGAAGAGAAGAGTGATCAGCAAAGTGCCTGGCACATAGCAACAAGCACTTGATAAATAACCACTTTTAAAAACTGTAATTCTTCATGTTAATATTATTTAAAAAGATCAGGTCTTTGCCATAAGTTTCACTAATGGACTCCAATAAAGTTTTTCAATCACAGAAAAGTCTGGTGGAAAATCAGTCTAAGTTTGGGTCTTGCAGATCCGAGTTTGAGTCCCTCCCCGCCTGACTTTCTCAGAAGCAGATGGCAGGTGGTCAAATGGGAGCATGGGCCGCGACTACCCTGAGAAGCAGCTGGGAGGGCCCCGAGTTGCTGGGGAATGCTGCTCACTGCCGCTGCCGCGTGCTCCTACATACCACGGACTCGGAGCGGATGGGCAGTTTTCTGCGGAATCAGCAGGGCTGCTGGGGAAATGCCGCACACAGACACTCAGCACTTAGAAGAACTTGCCACAGGGGGCAAGTGAAATCTCTGCTCTGACTGACACAGGATGGATGAGTGGAGGAGACCATCCATCAGTGTCAGGAAAGATCTGAAGCACCTGGCTAGTCAGTTGAAATAAAATAAATTATTTACTGATCTCAGAATCCAGCTGCTCACTCAAATGCTCGTAAAAGGTGCATTGTTTTCTGCCCTGTACTTTACAGTAGACTCAGTTTTGGAAAGAAAGAATTCCTGGATCACTCTGCAGGTTTTTGTTGCCGTTACTGTTAAAATGAAAGGGTGCTACCGGCTTTGTAAGGAGGGAGAGGGGTTCGAAAGTTACATACGGAACTCATCTACATGGCAACAGGAAATGAGCTTTTTTATTTACTGCATGGTGTAGTACTCATGGGCACAGTTTCTGTGACTGTCACAAAATTCCTGAGGACTAATTAATGAAATTTCTGTTTATCATGCTAAAGATTGAGCTTAGATTCATAATTGAAACACGTATTCTGGCAGCACCTGTTTAGAAGCTCCTTGGAGCCATGTCTCTCCACCAGAGGGTGCCATGTGTACCACTGGAAACACCCAGAGGTGACTGAGACCTGGCTTCTAGTCACACTTCTGAGAACTACTGCTCTAGGGAGAGATACCTAACATCACTATCATCATCCATTTCTACCTGACAAGTCTCCACTGTAGCTACAAGTGAAATTTGGCCAACAGCACCACTACCTAATCTGACTGATGTGGTTAATTTCAAGATGGTAGACTAGGACAGAAGGCTATAGACAAAACAGGGAACAGTGACAATACTAGCAACACTAAGATGAGCCAGCCTCTGTTCAGAATAGAGCTTCTATGGGCCAGACACTTTTTTTTTCTATCTTGAAAGGTAAATGTTATAATTCCCATTCTATAGATGATAAAAACTAAGACTGAAAAGAGAAGAGACTTGTCCAAGGTGACACTGCATGTAAGTGCTAATGCGGGATTTAAACCCAGTCCTGACTACAGACTAGGGCTCTTCCCACAGATCCTTTTGTGGGCCTCTTCCTTTAAGTGAATATACATGTCAGAATCTGATGAATTAAAATTTGGCTTTTTGCCTTTGGAAAAACGTGTGGGAAAGAAGCCCATGACCTTGGTTATCTTTCCAAAGCATTGCTTTTTTACCTTGGGAATCCGTGGACTTACTGATGATGCTCACCTGGGAAAATCCCCGCCCTGTACCCTGGCTGCAGCCAGGCTACTTACTGGGTTTATAACTAGACTCACTCCTTTGTTACTGGGAAGGTACTGCAGGCAAACACAAACTAGGTGTCTGAGTAGAATTCTTATTTTAGTGAACTTTTGTTAGAAATATACAATAGAAAGTGCATGAGTCCTAAGAGTATCTATAACTTGATTTTTTTCACAAAGTCTACACACTCATGTAATCAGTGCCCAGATCAAGAAACGAAACCTACCAGTGTCCAAGACTCTCCTGCAGTCACTGCAGCCTCCTCTCCTGCCAGATAACCACCATCATTACTTCTACACAACAGATTATTGTGTAATTTTGGAAGACAGTTACGCTCACCACTATAGCACCAACACTATTTTTGTGTATTTTTGAATGTTATATAGTAGAATAATATAGTATGGATCTTTCCCCCTTTTTTTTGAACCTGGCTTCTTTTTGAACAGCCCAATTATTTTTATTTCTATGAGAAGAAGCAGGAAAGGCAGCCCCAGGAGGAAAGACACCAGGGATTTCTATGTTTTAAGAATCAACATTGTAAATAAGCATTTTTTAAAAACCATTTTAGATATTTAGCATTTCGTTTGTTTTTGTGAGGAGGCTGAAACAGGTCCAGAAAGGAGAAAAAAGGTGGGTTCTATGGCTTGGTTCAACGTTCCCGGCTGCTAATTCATCAGGTTAGTCTGTTAGAATCACCATCATCCTAGCAGCTGGTGTTTACTGAGGAATTGCTACGTGCCAGGTGCCTTCCTCAGTATTCTGCATGTGTGAGGACATTTCATTCCCTTAAGTGCCACATCTATGAGCCAGGGACTACTGTCTTCACTTTACCAATGAGGAAACTGAGGCTCTGAACATTTGCCTGTGTTTGCTTGTGGCGATGCAGCTAATAAATGAACCCTGGGTTGAACCCTGGCTTCTAGCTCCAGAGTCTGGTCCTCTGCGTGTTCCACTACCAGCTCTCATTTACAGGAAGTTTGCCACCCGCCAGGCCCCGTGCTAAGTGCTTCACATGGCCTATCTGACTTGCCCCCCAAGGCAATCTGAAGAATTTGGTGCTACTGATACTCCCATGTAGACAGAATGGAATTGAGGCTCGGCAAGATGAAGACACTTGCCTAATGCAGCTGACTACCGGCAGAGCCACGACTCACAGCTGCTGTGAGTCTGATGCCCCTCTCTGACTTACTCAGCTGTCCTGTCAGCGTGCTTCAAGCTCCAGTCAGTCAGGTTGGGGAGGAATATTTGAAGATATTTTTTTTTTTTTTAATTTAAAGACTTTTGAGGCTTATTACAAATTAACCAAACTAACACCAACACTGCAAAAGACTTTATTATGAGACACATAACAGAGCATTTGTGAGAAACCTGTAATTAGTGGGCCTCAGAGTTGGCGTGCAAACTGCCTCCCTTCACACACAAGCAGACGAGGCCTGGGAAGGGGCGGTGTGGCAGAGGCAGGTGGCAGAGCCAGGGTACAGGTCACCTCCCTAAGCCTGGCATCCGTAACTGCTCCCCGCTCCTCCCAGTGTCCTTTCTTAGGGAGCAGGTGCACTTGAGTTGGCCAGACCAGCGTTCTGCTCCTGACACCACCACCTACCTGTTGTGTGAGCTTGGGCACGAGACGTCACCTCTCTGGCACCTCATTTACCTTCTTTGCTAGGTGGGGAAGGTACAAATACCTACCTTTTAGGTAGTTCAGAAATGTACGTAAAGCACTTAGCACAGGGCCTACTACACAGCAGGTACCTGTAAATGACAGCCGGGCTGCTGATGTAATATTGACTACGTTGACACTTTTTCTACTCCTGTTATGTGTAAGTCAAAACAGAAATTTAGCACTTAATTGGAACAAATTAATCCCAAATATTAATTGAAAGTTAATTCTGGATTATTTGGTGAGGATCCAAATATAACTTCCGAGATCATTAAAAAGCTTCCTGCATAAAGGCATGAATGAATAAGCAATGAATTCACCTGAGCAAAAAAAGGCAAGTGGCAAAGCTACAGAGCAGTTCTAAGGATAGCATGTAAGAGAATTACAGAATGATAAGAATTATGGAACTTCACAGGAGTCAATCAGTTTGAAAAGAGTCTCAAGTTAGTTCTATTTCTAATCTTCTGCTTCATAAAAAAGAAGACAAGACAGAGCACTCAGGTGGGGACAAGGAGGTACTTTATATTTCACTGTTTAAACACTTTCTCTGAAAACAAATTACCGTTAGTCATTCAGGTCACATAAAAGTTGGATGTTGTTTCATTCCCTGTTTCTACGCTGACCACTGATACAAAGGGTCCGGTCCATCATTAGTTCATGCACTTACCTAACTGGACATCAGTTGTGAATCGTAGTCTGTGGATCATGCTGACTTTGAATGACTTGTAATGGTGGCTGCTAAGCATATCCTGTACTGTAGCTATGTCAATCTGTGAATCCTCCTCAAAAACTCCGTCTGCCCTTGAACCTGGGGAGGAAAAAGCAGTTTAACACATAAAGATACATGAGGCTTGGCAAATGGTGTCTGCTTAAAATGCTTTGGGATAAATTAAAATAATATGGGCTATTTAATTTGGAGAAGAAAAGGCTGAGCGATGACTTAATAATGCCATTCCAGTAAACAGAGAATGGTAGCATATTCATCATTCAACAATTAATTCCACAAACACTGCCTATTCTATGGCAGGCCCCTGGCTGCGCAGCAGGGATACGCAAGGACAGAAAAACTGCTGCTTGCCAGAAGCTCTCCATCTCCACGAGAGTGAGTTAAAACCACAAAAGCATGGGTGGTCGCACTTCTTGTTTCTTCTCCTCATAATAATTTTTCCAATCATAAAAGTAATCCACGCTCTTGAAGAATTCTCATGCTTTCCGAGATTCTCAAACAGTTTGACAGCTTCCTCTCTTGCGTCCCACAGTCTCCACTGGTGTGGGCACGAGCCTGCTCCCGCCTGGATGGCTGTAACAGTCTCCTCACCGGCCTTCTGGCCACCAGGCACTCTCTGCAATCCAGCCACCACAGGACTTTCTGATTCATATGCCTTTCTAAAGCTTTGATCATTTATTCACTCATTCAATGTTTAGTGAGAGCTTTGTGCACGCTCAACACTCTGATATGTGGTACTGGGGACAAATAAGAAGGCTGGTGCTCAAAAATGTTCCCTGACTTCCCATGGCCTCCTGAATGAGGCACTGTTTTCAGCCAAGCAATCAAGGCTGTCTATAATCTGGTTGAAACATACTTTTTCAATTTTACTTGTCATTTCTCATCCATACCTTTTTGCAGTTCCTCCCAAACTCCTCAGACTGCACACCAGTCCAGGTTTTTCTACTTCTGGGCCCTTGCCTAGAACAACCCTTCCAACCTTACCCTGGACTTGTCAAAACTCTACCCAGGGCAGCTCAAACTCCACTTCCTGAATTCCATAGCAGTTTGTTTATACTGGACCCCGGAGCCAGAAAATTCAATTCAATTTTTAGCACTGCCTCTAACTTGCTATATGATCTTGGGCAAGTGACTTTATCTCTCTGATCCCCAGTTTTTACCATGCACAGAATGCCAAATATATTTAAAGAATCTAACACAAAATACACTTAATAAACAGCAGTCATGATTATTTTTATTCTACTGTCATAAAGGACCACATTCAGCCTCGCACTAAAATTGTTGAGTGGTTGGTCTGGCCTAATTTGGAAGCTTTTTGACAATCAGTAAAGTTTCTCATTCATCTCTCTATCTTCTGCAAGCAGTACAGGCAGCTGGTATGCTCTTGTTAAATTTTGCTAAATAAAGACAATAAAATAAAATAAAATAAAATAAAATAAAATTACATAAAGAACCAGTGTGTATGAATGCTAAGCACTTTACACATGCACTTCAGCCTCAGGACAACCTGGTGGGTACTGATTTCTGTATTATACAGATGAGGAATCTGAGGCTTTGGGAAGTAGAGTCATGTGCCCAGGGCCACACTAAGCAAAGCTAAATTATCTCCCATCCCCCAGAGTTTAAAATGTGCTCTTCTGAAGGTGCAGCTGCTGGTGCCATTCACCAATGGGACAGGAGCACCTGTATAGCAAGAGGTCAACCAGAGCAGGTGCCCTAAGTCTTGTTGTGTGGAACACCCAGAGATGGCCTACAGGGAAATCCAGAGAGAACTCCTTGGGACAGAGTTGGAGGAATGGAAAACTCGAGATTTGGGTATAAAATGGGAAAATTCTGTTACATAACTGGCAGCCTGACAATTGCACACTTTTCCTTCCCACAGTTATTGCTTACAAGGTAAGCTTTTAAGTCAAAGTTGGTTTCTGATGCCTTTACATTGGACTCATTTATTAGGAATTGTGCATTTGATTTCCAAACCCTACAATTATTCCCAGCTAAAATAACTCCAGCCCCTACAATAATGCTCTCCCCACAGTGAAGACGCAGCCTCACCCTTAATGGGCCATTCACTGAATGTCCGTGATACGGTCCCATCTTTGAGCATCTGCGCATATTGTCTTCTTTGCCCAGGTCACCCTTCTCCCCACTTCATTCCCTCCTGACCTATTCCTCCAGGTCTCCTCCTTATTCTTCCTGAAGAGCTTAGCTCAAGTGACACTCCAGGGAAAGCTTCCCTGATCCCGGGCCCCCAAGTCTAGTAGAGCTCTTTTCGCCACTGCACCCAGCATTTTCCTGCAGAATGCTGTCACAGCTAGTCACTATCTGTCTCTGCCCCAAAGGGCAAGCAGAGTGACTGCTTTACTCACCATTATAGCCTAGATCCTGTTAGTGCCCAGGATAAAGCAAGTGCTCAATAAAAATTTACTGAATGAATACGGCTGCCATGTCCACAGGAAGGTGAAGATCAGAGAGGCTGAATGACTTAACCAATGTCACCTCACTAGGATCAGAAGAGCTGCACTCAACATCTATAAGGGCCACTGGGTAACCTTACTAGCTTTCTTTGGGACACCTGTAATTTTGGACAGAGGTGCCATCACTGCAAGCACTGTCTTCTGGGTAACGTCCATCTCTTAAACCAAGATGCTGGCTAGAATTTACAGAATTTCAAATAATCGTTCATTTCCCCCAATACACACTTCACTGAAACCGAACTGTGGAGATATGTTTATTTCTATTTTTAGAACCTTTTAAATACGAGAGTTGTGGAGAATTTTGGTGAAATATTAAAATCCTTTCATGTTTTAAAAATCAGTTAAAGCCATCTTATCTGAGAAAATGCCATTATTAGATACAACTTAGCTCAAGAACTTCTGTTTTCTTTACTAATTAGTATTTTCTAAATATTGCAGGTATTTGATTTGGAAAGGGGTAACAGCTCATTATGCTAAAATGCCAATTACTAAAAAAAAAACAAAAACAAAAACCCCACACTTAAGAGTTTTACATTTTATGATGTTGGATTAAAACCAATTTAAAAATTACTATAACGTGACATATAATTTTTTACTGAGCAATTTCAATGCCAGCTGCTAATAAAGCATCTTAGCTGTAAATGATAATTCAGATGCTTTTAGATAAAGTGGTGCATAAATATGGCTGGAAATTGATTTAGCTTCTTACAGAAGCTACTGAAGAATGACATATTTTGTTTAATACACCAGCTAATGTAGTCCTAAAAGCTCAAACAAGTGCCAGTTTTCACTCCTAAATTTGCTGTGGGAGATTAATGAAAACTTTTTATTTTGCTGAAATGTTAATAATGGGCAGATGAGATGACAGGATTTTAGTAGAGGTCTTAAAGCTACGGAATAACCAGCAAGGCTTGTCAATTTCCTTATATTAATTTTGTTCAAGACTTACATAGCTGGAGCTGGCTCAACACACTAATGCTTCTTGCATTGACCTTCTACTCTCCAAGAGTGTAAATTCATATCCCATTTGAGGATTTAAGCCCCCCTGATACTTGGGTAAATTCTGAGCCTTGCCCCAGATGACAAGGGGTGTGTTTGCTTTTGTGATTAAAAGGGCAACAGCACCTGGGAGAGTAGGAAAGGAAGGAAGACCTCTGTGCTCACCTCCAGTGCACGCTGCCCACCCCCAAGCAGGTCATCTGATGAACTGGTCTCGGAGTTACACAGCCATTTTTCAAAGTAGGCTTAGGAATGCCACTGCTTGGAGGGGGCATGTGTGCATGTATCCATCAGTCACCCGTATAACCTGCAACTACCCACCCCCCCCATACCAGCAGGATGCTAGACTATGAAGGCACACTGGTGAGGATAAGGCAGGGTTCCTGATCTTTAGGAGCTTACAGACTTGGTATTAGGAACACAAAGAAAATAGTACAAAGCAGAGATAAGTACCCAATAAATGGTGCATGCAACAGACACTTTATATCGAAGCAGAGCATTATACCAAAAGCATGTTTTTGGACGAGAGAAGTTCAAAGACTTTGCATGTATACCTTTACTGTTTGTATCCTTCCAGAAAGGAGTGAACCCAACCATACGTCGGCACTATACCATTTGCATGTTAAAATTATTACTATATATCAACTTCACAATTAAAAACCCACTTCTGTTCAAAAGAAGACATTTTTATCTACTCAAAGTCAAAAAAAAAAAAAAAAGAACCAGAATGTCTCAGAAATAAACATATTAAAAAAACCACTCCCAAACTGTTAATTTAATTGAAACATAACCCTTTGGTATTTTGTTAAATGAGCAATTAAAAAGGTCACAAGCAATTAAATGAAACAAAAGCCACACTGTGTTCATCTACATTAATGCTGAACTGGGTCTCCTCCTGAATGACAAGATAAATTGTAATGGTGCCTTCAAAGACTTCACAATGTATTTTGTCAAAGTCGGGAGTGTTAATGTCTCTATGTGCCATGGATTACCATAATGTATCGTGTCAAAACGCTCGAGCTGCAATAACTCAAAGATGTATTGTGATAGATCAAATTTTGGGGTGGGGCCTAAAAGTGACTTGAGCACCAGTGCGCTCAGATGGTCTGACACCAGGCTCCGGAAGAATGAGAGAGAGCCCATTTGCAATTTGTAAAGGTTTGTGGGACAAAATCTAAGAGGGGAAGGAGCCTAGCTATCTAGAGGAAAGAGGTAGAAAGGAGGAAACAGGAATGGCACCTACCTTAATGGCAAAACCAGGCCGGGGCAAGAGGGGGTAGAGGGAAGGAGTAGACAGGCAACATCTAGGGTCTCCAGCAAGGAAAGAAAGAGGAGGTGCTGAGGGCGCCAAGGGCTGGGAAGTGGCCTTGGGACTGAATAACATTGGAAAGAACCTGGAACATAGAGTTCAGAGATGTAGGTTCAAATCGTAACTCTGACATCAAGGGTCAAAACCTTGCCCAAGATTCCATTTTTGGGAAGAGGCAGAACTGGGACAAATCTGTTGAACTCGAGTCCACCTTCCTTCCGCTGTGCTTCTCCTTCCCTCCCGCCTCACCACCTTCCTACGGGCAGCAACAAGGAGACAGCCTGGGTAGGTAACTATAA